ATCCAGATGGGATGGTTGCTCTGCTGGACTATCGTGAAGATGGTGTCACCCCATATATGATTTTCTTTAAAGATGGTTTAGAAATGGAAAAATGTGTAAGTATGAGGAAATTGGTTAAAATAAGTAATGTAAAATTGGAGAGTTTTCAGATGTGGTTGGTTGATGCCACTGGGGTAGTAAGAATGGATTTTATAGCAGTCCCTTTTAGCATATGGATCTAATTTTTTTGTTGTTTCTCTTGGGAAGGGGATATGTAAAGAAGGGCTAGAAAGGCTTAGAATCAGTCTTGGATGTAGATGGCATTGTTAAAACACAGTGAAGAGTGAACTAGAGAGGGAGGGCCTGTAAGTATCTGTGTTGGTCTTCCGAATAGAAATGTCATATTGAAAACAAACTGGTTTCCTTTTCATATTTTATCATATGTAGGCATCAGTTTCAAAACCTTTGGTTTTGGTTTACTGAGCTTTGGCCTTGGCAACAGTAAGTGTAGTCCGGTCAGTACAGTTAGCACTGCCTGTTGAGCCAGCACACAAATGATTTTATTAAAAATCACTCAAACTGAGTGCTGTGCATGGACTTGGTGTAACTTGGACAGAAATGAAGGCATCCAATCGATTCGGAGCAAGCAAGACTTATCAAAAGGAGATTCAGGAGTATTTGAGGTTTGTTGGTAAAGCAAAGTGTAAGTGGAGTTTGCTTCAGAGGAGACTGGAGAAGGGTGTTACCGCATACTTGATTGGGTGGGATGTTCTGCATCCACTGATAGACCTTGAACAATTGGCCGTGTTCTTTTGGTTTGCACTAGGATGCGAAAGAAAAAAATCCCTGCGCTTTCTGTCTGTCTTTGTGGCGGCCCAGATTGAATGAGGGAATACATCTGCAGCCTAGAAAATGGGAATGTTTTTCACACTGGGAAAATGTTAATATAGTCTGCCTTGTTTTTACAGTAACAAATTTGGCAATTATTTGGACCTGTCACCTGTCATCCTAGCTGGCTGCTGCTCTTCATCCACACAACACCAGGACTTGGACAAAATGGGACTGATGTCATCTTGAGAACTTGATTTATTTGGAGCAGAGGCATTTTTTTTTAAAGGGAAAAACGTGTAGGTTATCTAAAAATAAAATGCATTTAAAGTCATTTGAGAATGCCTCTTAGTTGAATATTTAAATTCATCCTGTAGTGCTCCTGGAGAGGCTGGAGCCGAGCTGTAGCTCACTACAGTGCTGTAAAGTGAGAGTCTTCAGATCACTTCCACAGTTAAAACGACTTGTGTGGGATTGGAGAATAAAAACAAGAGTCAAAAAGCTTGACTCTTGATTGAAATAAAGGGAGAGACTGGTTCTAGCAGTGCCAACTTTTGAAGTGTGGAGCCTTATGCATTTATCACCTACAGATGGAAGAGATGATTAAAAGAATAAAAAGAGACTAATACAATTGGAAGCTAAGTATTGTCGGAGATTATTTATCATAAATGGAGTAGAACCCAAGTTCTAAAGAAACCTAGAAGTGTCTCGGAATGAATGTATCAAACTCCCTGGAGTTGGGATGGTAACTAGAACAGGGATGGGCAAACTGGCATGAGGTGCCCCACCTATTTTTGTATGACTCACGCAAAGATAGGTTTTACTTCAAAATGGTTGAAAAGAAAGCCTTGCATATAAAAATTTTAATGTCCGGTTTCATAGGAACACAGTTATACTCTTGCTTACGAATTATCTATGGCTACTCTCACAATACAAGTGTTTGGGACAGCGACTGTAGGGCCTGCAAACCCTAAAATAACTGCTATAGCATTTACATAGAAGATGAGATTGTAGTTGGCACTTGGGATCGCTGCTGTGTAAAGGACAAACGGTATTCTATGTCTGAAAAAGCCTGGGTGTCAATGAAAACGCATCTATTTGACAGACCTGGTACAGTTACCCTCTGTTTCTAAGGTTTACACTACAGATGCAAGAAAAAAGTTCCTCGCGCTTTCTTTCTGCCTGCACTGTGGCAGCCAAGATTGAATAGGGGAATACAAGTTTCACTAACAAGGCAGAGAAGTCAGAAAGCCTGTAAACAGTTACACCAGTTACTTCATAAAAGGAATCCAAGTTCTGAGTTTACATAAGTATTGGGGGAATTTTCCCTGCACCGTTACCTCCTGTATAATTGTACTTTAAAAGGTTAAAATGTAGATGAAAGGAAGGTAGCCTATGAGTCTCATTAGATCCTATGCTATTGTGAGAACATACTGAAATTTGGCCTTGTTAAACAGTGCTGTCCAGTTGGTTCTGACTCAGTGACTCACTGTATAGGGTTTCCATGGAGTGGCTGGTAAGCTTGGACTACCGACCCTGCAGTCCAGGGTTCCTGAATTGGCCATTGGGGCCTCAAAACTATATATCTAGCTTAGAAGCTTGATCAAGCTGATCATAATAGAATCACAGATTTTAGGAAGAAATTTTACTTATGGACAACTATAAGGAGCCCTGTTAGCAGTTCAAGTCTTCCAGCCATTCATGGGAGAAAGATGAGGCTTTCTGCTCCTGAAACCCTATACAGGGTTGCTATGTTGGAATTGTCTCTGGCACACCACCACCACCAGACATACAATGGCTGACAAAGTAGTGACTTTTCAATCTGGTTAACCAGTTGTCTCAAGTTTTACCATCTTGAAAACTCCCTGGGGGGAAAAAAGGCACTTTGGAAAACCTGCTTTGGGCTTCCCTTGGATTTCTACAGCTAGTCTACCAGAGGGGCGTCTTGATTTCCTCCACTGTGACAAGGAACTAAAACAAAGCAGCTGATAGGAACATTTTGGGGAAGAATCCCTTTCCAATCTGGCTAAGGCCCTTGAGTCAGTTTCAGCTCAGCCACACTGTTTAGGGTTTCCAAGGAGCAGCTGATTACAGAACCACATCATTTAAAGTCAACCCACTACTGTGATTGCAGTTTTGGGAGCAGAGACTTCATGGAAACCTATATAGGGTAGCTATGAGATAGACCCAACTTTTTACAATGTGGTAGAGTCCTGATGTGGAGCTGCAGGATAAGCTCTGAACTGTTAACTACAAGACAGTTCAAATCCACTAGCTGCTCCTTGGAAATCCTGTGCAAGATACTTAAGAAAAAGCACTTAAGATCCTGTCCATTTAGCACACAAGATGACAACTGGTTAAGTGCCATCAAGTTGGTGACCTTGCATAAGGTATCCAAGGAGAGGCTGGTGGGTTTGACTTAAGATGGATTCAAACCCATGAGCTACTCACTGAGTTGAAACCAACTCATGATGATACCTAGGGACAGAAGTAATTGTAAATTCACTGCCTCTGAGTTTATACAGAATCAGTATTTGCCTATAGGGGGCAATGCAACTGTTAACATAGGCTTTCTGATCCTGTAAATCTTTATGAAGGCAAATTCATCTTTCTCCAGCAGAGTGGCTAGTTGATTTGAACCATTGACCTATCCATTAAGAACCTGACATTTAAGAGTGAGTCAGTGCCAAAACATGGCAACCTTGTATAGCGGTTCTAAGGAGCTGCTGGTGGTTTGAATGGCCTACCTTGTGGTCCAGCGCTTACCCCACTGCTCAGTGACTGCATTGTTAGGTGCTGTCTTGACAGCTCCAACATTGGCACTTAACGATGCCAAGACTCCTGGTGTGGCGCTGCAGGATAAAGCACTGGACTGCAAGATCCGTTTGAAGTGATTCAAATTCACCAGCTGCTTCCTGGAAACCCTATACAGGGTTGCTGTGAGTCAACCTACTCTGGCATTTAATAATGTGATGGCTCACACTTGTTGCCTCAGTAGAGCTAGACGTTCCCCACCGCTGTTCTACAGGGAATGGTCCCACCTGATAACACATGGGTCTGAATGTTAAGTGCCATCAAGTTGGTTTCTCAGTGACTCTGTAGGGCTTCCAAGGCGCTGTTGGTTTGAACTGCTGACCTTGTGCATTCCAGGGCTGATCCACAGAGTAACACCAAACATCCCAACACATCTGAATATGAGAGACTAAATTTCACTATCCTGGCTTCTAAGGAGCC